CAAAATAATGAAACTAAAGTTGACTAATAAGTTTTGTTATGAATCGGTTGTTATTTTCAATTATGACGACACATGCTTTTCATCATAGAATAATTAAACTTTTTTGCTCAGTTTATTTGTAAAATACTACATGGAATATAGCTATTGGTCTAAAAATTGTTTTTATGTAATAATCAGCACTGTGTTTGTTCGTCATCACCTTTCTCAATTTCATTGAATAGTTTGTTATTCATTTCTCTTCACTTGAAGTCTGCTACCCATATAACATTTTTTAGTGTATCTCTTAATGCAGACAATGATAAAAGATGCATATATCAGAAAATAAAGGATCTAATCGATTGTGATCGAGTAAAATCAGTATTAGTTGGTTATAGGTGGTTCTAAGATTAATAATTATAATTGATATGAAAGTCTAGTCGATCCTAGTAGATTGTAATCAGTCTCATTGGATTTTAGATGATTCTTATTTTAGTAATTATAATCAATTTGAAAACTTAATCGATTTTAGTAGATTATAATCCGTGATAATTGACTTTCGAGGATCAAAAAATCATCAAATACTGATTAAAATTGATTATACCTGAAAACTGATTGTAATTGATTGATAAAAAATCGTAGAAAACCGACTATAGTCGCTAACGATCGATTTTCTCGCATTTCAATAATACAAAATCGATGATAATCGGAGAAAAATTATTAATTCCAAATCAATTAAACAAGGAAATCGGTAATAATATTGAATTTAATCCAAAAAAATCGAATTTTCTTGGTTTTCATCGATTAATTACCCTTGACATCGATTAAAATCAAGGATCTGTTGATTTTTAGCCTTATTTTTTGTACGTGGGTAGATTATAATCAATATCAGCTGATTTTAGGTGGTTTTTAATTCAATGATTATGATCGATTTGGGGTCTTAATCGATTTTCTTGAATTATAAGCAGTGTCATTTGATTTTACGCAATTCATTAACTGTTGATTATAATCGATTTGAAAATCTAATTGATTTAGTTAAATTATAATCAGCTTCGTTGAATCATAGTTGATTCTGAAATTCATGATTATAATCGATTCGAATGCGTAATCAATTTTAGTAGATTACCATCCGTGATAGTTGATTTTAGATGACCAAAAAACCATCAAATACTGGTTAAAACGGATTATTTTTGAAAATCGATTCTAATTGATTACTAAAAATCTTAGAAAACGGATTATAGTCGTTAATAATTGATTTTATTCGATTAACATAAAGAAAATTGATGATAATCGGAGAAAATTCATTGATTCCGAATCAATTATGTAAATAAATCGATTAAAATCTGGAATTTAATCATAAGAAATCTAAATTTATCGGTTTTCATCGATTAATTATGCTTGAAATCGATTAAAATCACGGGTCTGTTGATTTTAGCCTTATTTTTTTTTACATGGGTACTGAGTGATAAAATTCAATCCGTAGTTTTTCTTGTTGACCTCTGTTCGTTGGCAATGCGCAACCGAATATAATTGTATTTGCATTTATCTGATTACTGAAATAAAGATACAAATTTTCAAATATGATTATATTTTGCTTTTGGGGTCATAATTTCACAATTGCCATTGAGGGAATGCGTAAGTCTAGTTCGTCATTATTTATCAAACAAAACCGACTTCAGCACGTCACTCACATCGGTGGCAGTCGAATCTGCCGTACTATATTCATAAGCACTCCCATGGTGAAGAGTAATGGCTGAGTTACTTGGTAGGTGCGACAAATCCAAAAGCCGGGAGATTCTCAGGTTAGAAAACCTGAGAAACTACGAAGAAAGTAGGTGTGCTATCATTAATTCAGTTCGAGAAGTCTTGTTGTCACCCGTAACTTGTTTTTTGTTACATCGGTATACTGTGAAACTGCTCAATGCTTACTGAAGATGAAAGCTATCTTACATGCCTTTTTATACCGCTATATCGAGTTGTTGATGCCTTGCTATTGCGTTGTGCAATAACGCAATCATACATCAGTCAATAATGGTTTTCATCCCTTCTCGAAGACACTTGCATGGAATAAACTTCTCAATGAATTGCATGTGCAAAGTGAAAACGGGTCAGAGGACGACAGCACAGCTGTGTGGGTGTGGGTGTGGCTGTAGGTGTGGGTTTGACTGTGGGTACGGGAGGTGGTGTGAGTGTCGGTAGGTGTGGATGGGTGGTTGTCAGTGTGGGGTATGAGTGGGTTTGGGTAACGATGTCGGGTGTGGATCAGTGTTTCCAATGGCAAGTGTACCAAGCAGAAACAAAATGTACGGAGCATCTGCTACTTTTGATTTACACTCTGTTGTACACTTGCCCAGAAAAACAAAGTGTACAATGTACACTTTGCTAAAATAGTTTACACTTTGATTTCTTTGATTTTTGAACCTTAAAAGCCGCATATAGTTTTAAATTAATTAAAGATAACGTTTATTTGTTCGCTAGAGNCGATTATTTCTAACAGAATTTTCATCATTAATTAACGATGAAAATGGTCGAAAACATTTTTTTTTCTAAATAAAAATAAAAAAATCCATTTTAATGTTTAGTGGTGGAAATCGTCCAGGTAGTCGATCACAAAATGCCTCAATTAATTTTGAAACTGATGGTGAACAAATAGTAAATAGTCAACAAGGAACATTAAAAGTTGACGATGGAATTAAAAATTTATTTTTATTTGGTTTTCGACCATTTTCATCGTTAATTAATGATGAAAATTCTGTTAGAAATAATCGATCATCAACATCTTTTTTTTCTATTCATCCTATTGATTTTATTAGACTTCAAATATTTGAACATCTTGGTAAATAAACAAAAAAAATTCTTTTTTCTTTTTTAAATAATAAATTAATTTTATTTTTATTTAAAAAAAAGTTCGATATTATATAAAATTAGATAAAATTGATGAAGGTGAACGTTGTGTTAAAGAAATATCATCATTAAGTCCATTATGTCATCAAATGTTTTATATGCGTGGATTAATAAATGATGCTCGTGGTCAATTTAAATTAGCTAAACTTAATTATAATGATGCATTAGCTATTAATCCTTATCATTTTCCAACATTAATTCAATTAACAAAACTTTTAATTCAAATAGGAAATTATTCATTAGCTGAAAAATATGCAAGAGATGCTATTTCTATTCAACCATCCAATTATCAACCTTGGTAAAAGAAAAACAAAAAAAATATTTTTTTTACTTTTTATTTTTCTATTAAAATTTTTTTTTCTTTTAATTTAATTTAAAAAAAAAAGGTATTTATTAAGTTTATCAATGGAAGCTCGTGGTGAATATGAACAATCGGTTGATGTTGGCGCAACTGCTGTACAGTTAGAAGGAGATTCCCCAATTGTTTCTTATCATTCGATAATGCGTGTTCTATAATGATTTTATTTCTTTTCTTTTCTTTTCTTTTCTGTTTTTTTCTTTTCTCATATTAATTATATTTATTCGTATATAAACGTAAATAATGTCCTGGTAAAAGTGTATCATATATATTTGATTGTTTTTGACGATTTCCATAGGACAAATTACGATCTTTGTTTGTTGTTGATCGAGATGAAGAAAAATTAGCTAAAGCTTCGTATGGAGGAGCAACCTCAAATTAAAAATAATTATATAGAATAATATAGAAAAGTTAATCTTTTTATATTACAGGAATATTGCCTGATGATGATGATGATGATGGTGGTGGTGGTCGTTGTAGTGAACTAGATGGAAATCGAATAATTGGTGATGTTATTATTTGAGGTGATTTTCCTTGTCCTTGTCCTTGTTGTTGTTGTTGTTGTTGTTGAAGTGGTGGCGGTGGAGGAAATGGTGCTCGTTGATTTGATGTTGATGAATTATTTGATAATAGAATTTTCGGTCTTTTTGTATAAACATGTTTTAATTTGGGATCAATTTCACTTGGTTTTAATGGTTGTTCACGTTGAGAAGGAGAACGTCGATCAATAACTTCTCGTACAGCATTAACAACATTTTGATAGATAACTCGAGTTGGTTCAGGTGGTGGTGGAGCTCGTTCTGTTGGAACTAATGATGGTTTATAATCAGTTACAGGTGGAACAGGTGGATAATGAACACCAATTGATCGTCGATATTGATCTTCATTGATTGACCAAGGTATAGGTATTATTGGCATTAATGATTGATTTGTATTTATATCTCTTGTTTTACTACGAAGATATTCTTCCATTAAACGACGAATTTGATGAAGTTCATGTAATAAAACCGATTCAATATTTGAATTTTTCATATCTGATTTTCTATTATTTACTGAAGATATTGATGATAATGATGATGATGATGATGATGATAATGATAATGATGATGAACGATATTGACGATAATTATCTCCAAAATGTTGAGTTCGATGTCGTTTACTTGGATGTTGAGAATATTGAGATGATGATTTATCTGAATAATTTCTAATAATAAATTTTATTTATTTATTTATTTAAATAGAATAATATATATGTATATATATAACCTGTGTCTGTTGCCCTTTAATAATCCATGTGAATAAGCAAAATCTTCCATAGCTGCTGCTATATATGGATCATTTTCAATAAGATCAGCTATTTCAGCTTGATCATCATCAAGTTTAAGATCATTATATGAAATTTTTCGTCTTTTATCTGAACGATTTGATCTTGAACGTAATAATGATCTTGGAATTTTTTGTTCTTCTTCCTCTTCCTCTTCTTCTTCTTCTTCTTCTTCTTCTTCTTCTTTTGTTTGTTGTCGTCGTTGTTGTTGTTTTGACTGTTTAAGTAAATGACGTTGCATATTGAGTAAATGTTGTTGAAAAGCTTCTTGTTGCTGTTGAACTTGTCTTAATTGAGTTTCAGTCAATGATTGATGAGTATTTTCCGATGAAGGATTATTATTAATATTATTATTAGAAAGTGGAGAAAAACTAGGTGATATTTCCTATAAAGGATAAATAAAACAATAATATTAAAAAAAAACTAACAAACATTTATTAAAATAAAATAATATTAACCTGAAATATGTTTTGAGTTGTTCGTGTTGCTCTTCTTTCTAATTCTTGACTAGTATCTTCTAATGATGGTAAAGAAGGAAGAACAAGTGTTGGTGTTGGTGGTGATGTTAATATTTGATCATCATATATATATTTTGGTCGACTATGTAATGAAGGAATAATATTATGTCTATTAGTAATAGGCATATGATCCAATGTTGAAAGACGAACTAATCTTGGTGAACATCGTCGATGTTTTTGACGCATAATTGGTAAACATGATGAAATATTATGATGTCCACCTAATATTTGATTGGCATAATCTACACTATAATTATGATAATAAATATCATCGTCTGATGAATATTGATCATCACAATAGTCGTAGTAACTCATTGCTTTCTAGTTTATATAAAATATGACGAACGACAAATAACCATGAGACAGTAGAATGACGACGAACCGAGAAGGTTTTTTTTTTTCCCTACTCTTCTTACTATTATATATCTATACAAGGTTTTTTTCTTTACCTTTATTTCATATGCAATATATTAGTCATGAATAGTGATTTACAATATGATATTTGATATTTGATATTGAACGTTTATTTATCATACATCAACTTTTATTCTTGTTAAAACAAAAAAATCAAAACTTGATTCTAGTTATATTTTTTGTTATTATTGAATAAAATTGTTTCTANCTCGTCGTTTTAATTATCTTGAAGTTCAAAAGAAGACTAACTTCACAAAAGTTTGCCTTTTTAGATGATTTTTTGTTAGATAATGAGATTGTTTAAATAGAAATAAAATCATTTATTACATAGTTGACTTTGACGTAAAAAGAAACCTTCATGTCTAGTTGATTTGACTTTCAAGTTGTCAATTATATAATAATAGGCTTTTTGACTTGTGATTTTCATGATTTAAAATGAGTTAAATTAAATCAGATGATTTAGTTGTGATTGTTTTGATTTAAAACGATTAAGATTGATTGAGATGATTTTATTTCAATTTTATTTTGATTTAGATCTGACTTCACTCAGTTTATTCTCTCCTTCTAAACTTCTTTAAACTTATGAAAATCATACTAGCTCATTTTAAATCAATGTGAGTCATTGAAATCAGATAAATTCAATTTAAATCACGAAAATCAAAACAATCGGTACTTTTTATTAGGTGTCTTGACAATGGTTTCATATTTTTTTTACTAGTCTCAGAAATATCAATCCAAAAAAAATATATCAATTTAAACAACAAAAATCGATAGTGTCTATAACATATATACGTTATTTTTCTTTTCATACTGATAAAAATAATTATTAAATATTCTTAAGACATTTAGCCAAAGAATGTCATTCAAAATATTGTATTAAATCATCAGAAAATTGTTTACGTCAATAATGAAAACAGAAATACACAATCCCTTTTCTCTTTGATAGAGAAGATTTAAATTTATTAAATTTAAAATAAACAATCGAAAATTGTCGCATCTGTCATTTTCTTCATGGATTATTTTAAAATTTTTGTTTTTGGATTAAAATACCACTTTTTTGGGGGCAGTACCTTTTTCATTACTGGTTCTAACCCTAGTATTTAACTACTAATACTAATCAAAATGAATTGCTACCTTAAACTAATAATTATCAACAGAGAATTAAACGATTTTTATTTCAGAAATCCTCCATATTACAATTGAAAAACAAGCAAATTGTTAAATAAATAATTCGATTTGAAGAGAATGGATGATTACTTCATTCACTTTGATGTCTAATAGTAAAAGTTTTAAAATTCTTCTTCATTTCGTTCTAATAACCATGATGCAATAGAAAATTCTAATGATCGATCAATATTTCGTTCAAATGTATATTTTGCAATAATCCATATATCAGGAAATGTATTATCATTCGAATATTCATCCAATAGAAGTCTACAATAAACAATGTCGTGCTTAGTAATACTAATTATGTTATGAAATAGATTATATCTCGAATGATTGATTTAAGAATAAAGTATCCTACATGAAACATTTCTTCTCGAGTTTATGAGGGAACTACCGAAACTTTAACTCACTGTTTTAGCTCATATTAAGTCCATCACGAGTACCTAATCATTCACGGTTTATAAATAAACTACTTGAACATGTTTTTATATAGTGACCATTGAGATCAGCTAATAAAAATTGAATAGATTTCTTTCGATATCAACGTTCAAATGTCATACCATTAAAGCAAATTGTTATTATGCCAAGAAGCCATACACTATGTAGAGAAGAAAGAAAACAAAGAGAATCTATCTATTATCTTCGTATGAAATCAAAATAATAAAACATTGATACTAAGAAAGTTTATGTGCAAAGATTATATGATTATAACCCCAATAATCAGTCATTATATGTGAATGTTATAATGAATCAACTGAAAATGACAATAAAAAATAATCATTTAAACTAAATTGTAATTTATTTATATCTTAATAATGTTATTCCCAATATGGTCTTAGAGTATACGTATAAATGAATTAAATATTGATAAACAAAATAATAATATAACTATACAACGTAAATCATATCGATAAATATATGATTTATATATTTAATTTTTTCTCTTTAAATAATAAAGACGATCGCAAGATCATTAAATGATAAAAGTAATAATTGTATTAATGGTCTGTTATCTAATGTCCGCGCCAGAATGAAAGAGGGTCAGTCGGGATATCTTTTACCCCGACCATGTTAAAGGCGAAATCCTTTCAAAACTAATCATCTTCGAAAAACATGTAACAGATTGCATGAAAATGATCTGCCCTCTAAGTGAAATTTTGATTTTTGACTTTTGAAATAGATAGAGGAACTTGAGATCTATAGTTCAAAATACAATGCAAATTGTTCTCTTATTACATTATAAGGTTGAACAAATGGAATCATTTATTTTCATGCACAAATCATAGGAAGTTTTGCTGGGTTTTTACTAAGTTTTCACACTTTTTATCATAAACTATAGATCTCAAGTCCTTCTATCTAAATCAAAGGTCGAAATGAAAATTTCAGTCAGATGACAGGTCATTTTCATGCATTCTTTTCCATATTTTTCGAAGATGATAAGTTTGAAAAAGATTTCGTCTTATACATGATCGAGGAAAAAGATATCCCAACTTCTCCTCTGTCAATTGGTGAAAGCTGCAGGTCGCTAACTATCGCCGTTATCGGGATATGCGTGTGAGTTGTGGGTGTGGATGAAGAGAACACCCACACCCCGTAATAAAACATGTGTATCATCTGTTGAAAATTGACATGTTAATTCAACATAATTTTGTATTATAACAAAATAAATTGATATAGAATCGATTAGTACAATTAAATATGGTTGATCATTAAAACATAATAAAAGACTTTTTCTAAAAATTGTATCAAATGTTGTCTCAACATCATTGAAATTTATTTCATTTGATATTAATCGTTGTGTTCGTAACGAAAAACATAGATGATTGATTTTTTAAATTAATGCACCTATTGATCCGTGCCATAATCATGAAATAATAATACTAAGAACAAGAGAAATGAAGTATTGATAACGATTCGCAGTTCTTAAAAGAAAAAAAATTATATTGTTTCTTATTTTCTGAAGTCATTTTCATTTATATGAGAATCATTCTAAAAATTCTATGCTATGGAAGAAAAACAATGACTTAAACATGCGATACAACGTTGATAAGCGTATGGTAATCTAGTGAATGTATAATAAAGTAAGGAATCATAGTCTTGAATGAATTTCGATGTTTTTTGAGTCAGAGAGAGACTATTGCAAGAAAATAGTTGAGTTTTAAAACAATAGACTGTTTTCGACCGAAAAAGTCGAAATGAATATAAGATCAACGCTATTGTTGCATCCTTCGCCATCGGTTCATGATATTTGTTTAGAAGAACGTGTCATAAACTTCAAATTCCTGATTTTTAAAAATTAGTTTGAGTTGCAAATAAATAAAACAATAGACAGCATCTTGCGAGATATTTTTAAAATTACTTATTATTATTTTCTTCATTAGTTATTGCATAATATTAGAAATATGGAGTTTTCTTTAGCTAAATTTGACCAATGAGATTCGAGATGAACGATTCGGTCATTGTACTAATGTAGCTTAAACGCTTTCCTTTATGATTCGTATTACCTGAAATTCTACATTTTGTGTTTCTTATCTATTTCATAAAAATTCGTTCTTCTTTATATGTAAGTACAGTAGACCGATAAGTATTATACTTCGAAATACTTTTCGAAATTTCGAATTATTCGAAAGTCTCATTTATTACTAATACATAAACAATGTCAAAGTAAAACAAACATTTTTTTCTTTAATTGAACTGAAATTTTCATTATATATATATATATTTATTCCGATAAATGGAAATAAAACATACCTGTGACCTCATAACTGGTAATCCTTTTTTATAAGTTACATTTTAAAGCCTTTGTGCATAAATTTTTGGTGTCATATCAATTGATATTGTTATTGATAATAATTATAAAATTAATGGTAAATATTTAGGTAATAATTGTTTATTTAATATTTGTTGATCAAATATTAACATCATTTCCATACAACGACAAACAATTAATTCAGCTCAACGTAATACAGATATAGTTAGATTATGATGAAAGCTTAAGCTCTTTTGACTTTGATAGAAACCAGCTTTTATCTGTTCAGTTANATAGTAAGAAAGCTTATGTGCAAAGATTATATGATTATAACCCCAATAATCAGTCATTATATGTGAATGTTATAATGAATCAACTGAAAATGACAATAAAAAATAATCATTTAAACTTAATTGTAATTTATTTATATCTTAATAATGTTGTTCCCAATATGGTCTTAGAGTATATGTATAAATGAATTAAATATTGATAAACAAAATAATAACATAGCTATACAACGTAAATCATATAGATAAATATATGATTTATATATTTAATTTTTTTCTCTAATAATAATAAAGACGATCGCAAGATCATTAAATGATAAAAGTAATAATTGTATTAATGGTCTGTTATCTATTGTCCGCACCAGAATGAAAGAGGGCCAATTGGAAGATCTTTTACCTCGACCATGTTAAAGGCGAAATCCTTTTAAAACTAATCATCTTCGAAAAACATGTAACAGATTGCATGAAAATGACCTGCTATCTAAGTGAAATTTTGATTTTTGACCTTTGAAATAGATAGAGGAACTTGAGATCTATAGTTCAAAATACAATGCAAATTGTTCTCTTATTATATTATAAGGTTGAGCAAATGGAATCATTTATTTTCATGCACAAATCATAGGAAGTTTTGCTGGGTTTTTACTAAGTTTTCATACTTTTTATCATAAACTATAGATCTCAAGTTCTTCTATCTAAATCAAAGGTCGAAATGAAAATTTCAGTCAGATGACAGGTCATTTTCATGCATATTATTCCATATTTTTCGAAGATGATAAGTTTGAAAAGGATTTCGTCTTATACATGATCGTGGAAAAAGATATCCCAACTTCTCCTCTGTCAATTGCCAAAGACTTTTTCTAAAAATTGTATCAAATGTTGTTTCAACATCATTGAAATTTATTTCATTTGATATTAATTGTTGTGTTCGTAACGAAAAACATAGATGATTGATTTTTTAAATTAATGCACCTATTGATCCGTACCATAATCATGTAATAATAATACTAAGAACAGGACAAATGATGTATTGATAACGATTCGAAGTTCTTAAAAGAAAAAAAATTATATTGTTTCTTATTTTCTGAAGTGATTTTCATTTACATGAGAATCATTCTAAAAATTCTATGCTATGGAAGAAAAACAATGACTTAAACATGCGATACAACGTTGATAAGCGTATGGTAATCTAGTGAATGTATAATAAAGTAAGGAATGATGGTCTTGAATGAATTTCGATGTTTTTTGAGTCAGAGAGACTATTGCAAGAAAACAGCTGAGTTTTAAAACAATAGACTGTTTTCAACCGAAAAAGTCGAAATAAATATAAGATCAACGCTATTGTTGCATCCTTCGTCATCGGTTCATGATATTTGTTTAGAAGAACGTGTTATAAACTTCAAATTCCTCTTTTTTAAAAATTAGTTTGAATTGCAAATAAATAAAACAATAGAAAACATCTTGCGAGTTATTTTTAAAATTATTTATCATTATTTTCTTCAATAGTCATTGCATAATATTAGAAAGATGGGGTTTTCTTTAGCTAAATTTGACCAATGAGATTCGACATGAATGGTTCAGCCGTTGTACTAATGTAGCTTAAACGCTTTCCTTTATGATTCGTATTATCTGAAATTCTACATTTTGTGTTTCTTATCTATGTCATAAAAATTCGTTCTTCTTTATATGTAAGTACAGTAGACCAATAAGTATTATACTTCGAAATACTTTTCAAAATTTCGAATTATTCGAAAGCTTCATCTATTATTACCACATAAACAATGTGAAAGTAAAACAAACATTTTTTTTTAATTGAACTGAAATTTTCATTATACATATATATTTATTTTGATAAATGGAAATAAAACATGCCAATGACCTCATAATTGGTAATCATTTTTTATAAGTTACATTTTAAAGTATTTGTGCATAAATTTTTGGTGTCATATCGATTGATATTGTTATTGATAATATTTATAAAATTAATGGTAAATATTTAGGCAATAATTGTTTATTTAATGTTTGTTGATCAAGTATTAACATCATTTCCATACAACGACAAACAATTAATTCAGCTCAACGTAATACAGATATAGTTAGATAATGATGAAAGCTTAAGCTCTTTTGACTTTGATAGAAACCAGTTTTTATCTGTTCAGTTAATTTCTTCTTCCTAAAGTTTCCAACCGAAATTTTTAAATTAATCACTCCAGTTTTCGTTACAAAGATGACTATTTCAACTAAAATTGATGTTCCTATTGCTGGACTATCATATCAATCTCTACGAATATACTATTATTTTGATTCATTACCATTTTCTATAATATGCATAAATACATAAAGATAATCAGATGCAAGAGAAACTAATGTCATATCGATTTGATCACATAATTGTCGAGTATTAGTTAAAATTCGAAGAAGAGTTCTAAAAAGAAAAACGATAATAGTAGTTTTTAAATTACAAATAAAATCCTTTCGAATACTTACGGGCTNGTGTGGGTGTGTGGATGAAGAGAACACCCACACCCCACACCCACACCCCGTAATAAATCATATGTATCATCTATTGAAAATTGACATGTTAATTCAACATAAGTTTGTATTATAACAAAATAAATTGATATAGAATCTATTAGTGCAATTAAATATGGTTGATTATTAAAACATAATAAAAGACTTTTTCTAAAAATTGTATCAAATGTTGTTTCAACATCATTGAAATTTATATCATTTGATATTAATCGTTGTGTTCGTAACGAAAAACAGAGATGATTGATTTTTTAAATTAATGCACCTATTGATTCGTGCCATAATCATGGAATACTAATACCAAGAACAAGACAAATGAAGTATTGATAACAATTCGAAGTTTTTAAAAGAAAAAAAATTATATTGTTTCTTATTTTCTGAAGTGATTTTCATTTATATGAGAATCATTCTAAAAATTCTATGCTATAGAAGAAAAGCAATGACTTAAACATGCGATACAACGTTGATAAGCGTATGGTAATCTAGTGAATGTGTGATAAAGAAAGGAATGATAGTCTTGAATGAATTTCGGTGTTTTTCAGTCAGAGAGACTATTGCAAGAAAATAGCTGAGTTTTAAAACAATAGACTGTTTTCGACCGAAAAAGTCGAAATAAATATAAGATCAACGCTATTCTTGCATCCTTCGCCATCGGTTCATGATATTTGTTTTAGAAGAACGTGTCATAAACTTCAAATTCCTGATTTTTAAAAATTAGTTTGAGTTGCAAATAAATAAAACAATAGAAAACATCTTGCGAGATGTTTTTAAAATTATTTATCATTATTTTCTTCATTAGTCATTGCATAATATTAGAAAGACGGGGTTTTCTTTAGCTAAATTTGACCAATGAAATTCGAGATGAATGGTTCGGTCATTGTACTAATGTAGCGTAAATATTTTACTTTATGATTCGTATTCCCTGAAATTCTACATTTTGTGTTTCTTATCTATTTCATAAAAATTCGTTCTTCTTTATATGTAAGTACAGTAGACCAATAAATATTATACTTCGAAATACTTTTCGAAATTTCGAATTATTCGAAAGTTTCATCTATTACTAACACATAAACAATGTCAAAGTAAAACAAACATTTTTTTCTTTAATTGAACTGAAATTTTCATTATACATATATATTTATTTCGATAAATGGAAATAAAACATACCAGTGACCTCATAACTGGTAATCATTTTTTATAAGTTACATTTTTAAGCATTTGTGCATAAATTTTTGGTGTCATATCGATTGATATTGTTATTGATAATAATTATAAAATTAATGGTAAATATTTAAGTAATAATTGTTTATTTAATGTTTGTTAATCAAGTATTAACATCATTTCCATACAACGACAAACAATTAATTCAGATCAACGTAATACAGATATATATGATAATGGAAAAAATTGTCAATTAATAAAACCAATACAAGACCACTTTCATCTAAATTCACTTTGTCCAAATAAAAAATAATCATTGATGATGTGTTATTAATGATGATGGTGTTAGTATTGATGACCACCATGCTTCTTATGTATAATCAAGCATATTCAGAAAACGTGTTCATTATAATAATCATGGTATATAATAATGATAATAATAATTTAAAATTCACACTTAAAACAGTTAAATATGAAAATGCATCAAGACGATGTACAGTTTCATCATGAATTCATAATTGACGAAAATCATTCACAATTGTTCGAAATTGTTTAGCTAAAATAAAATTATAGAACTTATATAAGCATAGGAATTTTAAAGTCCAATGTGTTTCGCTAACTCATTAGTAATTAACGAATGGCAGAAAAGTTTTATCTTAAAATTAATGGGTGATATGTTACTATCATATAGATTATGATGAAAGCTTAAGCTCTTTTGACTTTGATAGAAACCAGTTTTTATCTGTTCAGTTAGTTTCTTCTTCTTAAAGTTTCAAACTGAAATTTTTAAATTAATCACTCCAGTTTTCGTTACAAAGATGACTATTTCAACTAAAATTGATGTTCCTATTGCTGGACTATCATATCAATGTCTACGAATATACTATTATTTTGATTCATTACCATTTTTCATAATATGCATAAGTACATAAAGATAATCAGATGCAAGAGAAAATCATGCTATATCGATTGAACCACGTAATTGTTGAGTATTAGTTAAAATTCGAAGAAGAGTTCTAAAAAGAAAAACGAGAATAATAGTTTTTAAATTGCAAATAAAATCCTTTCGAATACTTACGGGCTAAACGTTTCATCTCGTGTTCCATTAACTGATGATAAAATCTCATTCCATCGTGTTAATATAGCATCTTCAGTTAAATTTTGTACAAGACATTGAAATATCATATTTAGATTGATTAACCATCGATTTGTAGATTGACAATTTGACATTCTAAAAATAATTTTAAACTACGGGAAAGTTTCATAAATAAAAACAACAACAAATGGATCAATTGATCGTAATGCAACTGATGATACAACATTAAATAATGTTAATTGTGTGGAATAAGTATCCAAAAGCGATTGACCCTATTTGAAAAACAAATAACGTAAAATCGAAGATTATTAAAAAAGAAAAATAACCTTAGATGAACCAATAGTAACATGTGATTTTAAATAAGTAAGAAGTACATTGAAAATTTATCATGAAAGATGTTTCCATTTATCATCTTCATTTCGAACACTATCAATAAATCTTGTTGAGTTCTGGACATCAACAAGATGATTATTTTCAGATGATTGATACATTGAAGTGTGGGTGTGAGTTCAATCGAGGAGAAAACTTACACCTACACACTCAGACCCTCTCGAGTTTCTATAATATTTGAGACCTTATAGAGGGAAGCCTTTTGTTCACTATCATTTAATAAAACTTTTTACGAATTTCAGTTATTCGCATAGTGACTATTTCTTAAAATATGACAATATTTTATTATATCGAACAAGTTTTAGTGATGTGTGAACAAAGATCATATACAACTGGTTCTAATGCGGGTGTGGGTATTCTCAAACAAGAGAAATGTGCCCACAGCCACAGCCACACCCACCCGCATCCACACCCCACACCCCACACCCACACCCACATCCACACCCTAATTTACATTGAACATGAATATGATGATCAAAATCAATTGTTCCAAATTCAACATTATCGCACAAAACTTTTTGTGTACTAAAATTCAGCAATATTTCATCTTTTCTATTGTTACATAAGGACTAAATTTGTAACAATAAATTATTTGATGTCGTGATTAATATAATTTTATTAGTAAGATCAAAATAATATACATTTTTACGTCTGTAAAGATCGGTAGTCTTGAAATTGTTTCGATTTGGAATAATTTAAAGTGGTAAATGTAATACCTTTTGTTGTGCATTTATTGCATACTAATAATTTTTCGCTAAACTCAGCTAGATCAAAATAGAATAAAAGGAATAGTATTTATATTTTTATAACTTTTCCAATGTTCTTTCAAAGAAATAAAAGTTTATATCTCTTTTCAATATTCACTACTTGTATAGGCCGTCCAGAAACGCTAGATGCTTTGTTCTCCAATGAAAATTTGAATAATTATAGTACGCTTAGAAATCTTTCGAGAGTTACATAATCAGTGTTTGGACTATGTTAGTTCCTTTCTCTTAGTGATTAAAATTGTAATGATAATTCTTGTGTGAAGTGTGATATTTTCCATCACTTTCTTTTCTTCTCTTCTATGTGATCTCGTAATTCAAAAAAGTCCATTGTTATTAAACAATAGATGCAGGAGATTTAATTTGATATACATGTAACATCATTGAATAAACTTTCTTATTATAAAAATTCTTCTTTTTTCTATTATAAATTGAAAGGTCTTTCTGGATGAGTCTGGATTATTTTTTGAAAAAAACAAAATTCTTTGATAGATGGCACTCGAAACATAGCTAATAGCGTATTTTTCAAATATAATTCTGTTTTATTCAAAAGCAATTTTGCATTCACATGTAAAAAAGCAAAAAATTTATAAATTTTCTTCAATGAGAGTGCTGTGTTAGTATTGGTTCATTTGTGTATATAATCACCAGATTCTGTACCATTAGTTCGAATTAGATTTTTACAAGATTATTTTTTCCATCTTCTTTTTCTGCATACGAAGCTTTTCTTCGATCTGACCTTGCTGTATTCTTTGCTTATTTTACCCTAATCATACACTACTTTTCGTTTTTTTTTAAACTCTAACCATATTCTCTGTTCGCTTATTTTACTGTAACAATATTCTTCTTTCGTTTACTATACTCTAACAATACCCTCCTTCCGTTTATTTTACTCGAACCATGTCCTTCTTTCGCTTATTTTAATCTAACCACATCTTCTCTTTCGTTTATTTTACTCGAATTATATCCTTCTTTTCGTTTGTCCCTACACTGAAAAAAAAAGCGCCGAATAGTCAACCCTTGCTCTTAATTTTCTCTTTTATAAACTCTTGAAGGGTTTATGATGGCGGCAAATACCCTTGAAGGGTTCATGATCTGAAGGGTTTTTGAGCATAAGGGTATATCAATACTCAAAGGGTATATTGAGCTCTCTTAAGGGTTTTTCATTTCATGTTTTGCGTCGAGGAGTTTATTATTAAACGATTGAGGGTAAATTAATATATCCATTTTTCAGAACCGTTTCTTTTGCAACAATCAAGGGTAGATTATTATTCGGTTGAAAAAAGGCGTTTCTTAGTATACGGTTAAGGGTAGATGATTCTACGCTTTCGTAAGAAGAGTTTATTGTGATACCTCAAAGGGTAGATTACTCTACGGTGTCGCTATAGACTTTATTACCGGAAGACAGAGGGTAGATTAACATGCGCTTTTGGAAGAAGAGTTTATTATAATACGGTAGAAAGTAGATTATTATACGATATTATCCAAATGGGTAGATTATTCTACGAATAAGGGTTGATTGTTGTATGGTTTCAGAAAAAAGATTTGTTATAATACGGTGAAGGGTAGATTGTTATACGATATTATAAAACGAGGTAGATTATTCTACGGATAAGGGTTAATTGTTGTATGGTTTTAGAAAAAAGGTTTATTATAATACGGTAGAGGGTAAATTATTATACGATGCTGTCCAAAAGGGTAGATTACTCTACGGATAAGGGTTGATTGTTGTATCGCTTTAGAAAAAAGGTTTATAATAATACGGTGGAGGATAGACTATTACACAATATTATCCAACAGAGTAGATTATTCTACGGATAAGGGTTGATTGCTGTATGGTTTCAAAAAAAAGGTTTATTATAATACAGTAGACGGTACATTATTACACAATATTATCCAAAAGGGTAGATTATTCTACGCATAAGTGTTTATTGTACTACGTCCCAGGTTGAAAAATCTGACATCAAATCGTACAAGACCGTATAAGATCTTGTAGTCTGAACAAAATCTTACAAGAATCTGACAAAAAATCGTAGTCTCTGCGATCTTACATCAATTCATATTACAAGATTCTATAAAGATCTTACATGCACTTTATTTTCACCACAAACTTATAGTGCTATTTGAGGGCCATATTAGTTTAAATAGAATACTACTGTGATTAGATCGCGACGCAACAGAGTCTTACAAGGATCTTTTAATACGACTTAGTGTAAGAAATCAGAGACCACGATTTTCTGTAAGATTTTCGTCTGATCGTATCACATCAAATATGATCAGACGTACGATTCTTGTAAGGTCTTATTATCTGATTGTTCGCCCTGGGGTTTTCAGAAAAATAGTGTACTATAATGTGCTTAAGATAGATTATTATGTGAAATCATCAATAGTGTGTATAATTTTGCGGCAATGCTCAGTCTGATATAAACTATAGCAATCAATTGTAAAACAGGAGCCATTTTTGTTTCAGAAAACTTCGTCGAGTCTTGAAGGATTTATACAAATTCAATGAGTTGTGAGGGGATTTACGAACGAACAAGATCTATTTCTGTAGTAGTGTATTAGAATGAGAAAGTTGCATAATCTCTATTTCATGGTTGCTGTATTTTATTTCATTGTCAAAACTGTTTGTTATTACATCCATCAAGGCAGTTCAGTTGATAAATAAAATAACAAAAATTTTTACTTCAAAATCCAGAGAACATTAAAATGCGATGTAACTTATTGTAAACATTATTCAGCATCAACTGGCATAATTATATACTTAAATCATCTGATGTATTTACAATTTAAAGAGTATTTGTACATAATCGATTAAAAAAATTAAAATAATAGAAGATATCATAAAACACATTGTGCTACAATCAATTCAAAAGGATTTATTATTCTATGACTACGTCGATATAATACTATTTTTAATTGTGATGAATTAATTGTTCCACATTCAAAACTTCATCGTTTGTACTTATGAATAGAATATTTTTCACTTCTAGAGTTTAATCGAAAACAAATATTAATATTTCTGTGAGGATAAATTACTGTATAATGAGTAAGAAACTTACAATAATCATCACGTTCAGAGTTTTACAGGGAGCATTCATATAAACAACAAGTATTGCATAAATATACCAGGCTTCTCTGAAAAATATTCATTATTCATTAAGCAGTGTTACGTATGTTGACATGATATTCGATTCTCGATACAAGTTATCTGAAATAGCACATATTTAGTATCACACTTCCTAACGAATTCAGTGATTCGGTGATTCTACAATTGATGTGCCATTGCAAATAAATGAAATAATAGCGATTTATAAAATATCACTCATTAATCCTTTCAAAGTATAAAGAAATCTATCACAATGATGGGGAACTATCAGTCATTACGATATTAGACTATTTTAGAAGGATTCTAAGGTAAAATGCAGTCTAAAAATTAGTGGTGTGATACATAAAGATTACGAGGATCATTATTCGTGTAAATCGATCAGTAATTCTTTCAAGAAACAAATTAATGAAAGTTCAGATTCAACACGACAACAACCAGACTGTCTAAAAATTCATTTCAACCTTTTTGATGATATATGTTTATTTCTATTTAGGGTCGTGAAATACAATTCAGAGCAACACAATGAAGTCAGAATGGATCTAATCCCGGTACAGCAATCTTTATGGACATTTTAGGTTGTTGTCGAAGCGAAAATTCATTTTCAGATCATTAGTATTGTCATAAATATGAAACACTAAATTCGAGAGGAAATATGCCATAAATTATTGGTACTTAGCTAAGTAAAATGCAACATTCTTAATGTTTCAATCAACTTTATATTCCTCATCAGAAAAGCTTCAACTTTCATGTGGATTACCAGCATCTTTGTCACTATAGGTATATTTTCAATGCGTTGCGTTCGGATAAGCGATATATTTGCTTTCATCCAAGAATATTATAGAACTATACACAATGAAAATTCAAATGAGAT